CGCCACAATGTGCCTCAAATGGTAATCCCACCATTCCATGCGCTTTCACGCGCACCAGTGGTAATCTCGCACCTCAACGTGTCGAATCAGCTCGGTCACGGCGCCACCACGCGCCATTAGTGGTTATCACACGCGCCACAACGCATTTGATTCAGTCGCCATGCGCCCAGGCGCATCAGATCCACGCCACACCACATGTTAGGCCACGTCAGCACTGCTGCGTCATTCTGCCACGTCAATTGCCATGTTAGACATAATCAGCAGCTGTGCCACGTCAGTTGCCATGTCAGACACAGTCAGCAGCGGTGCCAGTAATAGTGCCATATCACCTGTCACATCAGTTGTTAATTGTGCATCCATCTTCATCATCAGTGAAAACCCATCTTTACCAAATCGCTTCCACCATGCCGCTTTAAAAGTCTCATTTCTAAACTCAAGATGGTTTTATTCAATCCACCTTGATTTTGAGGGAAACTGTTATAATATACTATAGAATTTATTATAATTATATTGTATAATATATTATAACCTTATACAGGATTACCATATATAGGATTCTAACCTTGTATAAGATTACCATATATATAGTTACCATATATATATATATATATAGGGTTTACTTGTTCATCACATTTAACCCCTCCTATATAAATCATTTTTTGTATACATCTCGTACACATCAATACAATACAAAATTCTATACTATCTCTTTATATCTAACAATTCTTTTATTTTCTTTCATTTCCATTCTACCAAACTGACCGTAAATATTAGACCCAACAACTAAGATTATGAAATTAAAATTATAAAACCTTAAGATGGGTGTGGATTGGATGATTTAGAGGTAGTTGGAAAGGAAAATAAGAATAAAAATTAGTATGAAATGTGTTTGGGTTGTTTTAAATGAAAATAAATATATATATATATATATGATTGGGAGACATTTTGATAGCTATCCCTTGTATGCTACCCTCCAAAAATAAAAATAAAAATTGAAAGATATTATAGTGGTGATGAATACTTTCATAATCTCCAAACTACCATCAATAATTAAAAGAAACTTTCTTAATGACACTTGAATCTCATCTTATAAAATAATAATTTAGTTATAATACTTTCTTTTCTTTTATCTTCTTTACTTTTTCCAAACAAGAATAATATCATTTATCTTATTTTCCTCCATAATCTATCTAAAGATGAATAAAGATTTTGTTATCCCGTATTTTCTTTTTCTTTTTATCCTCTCATAATTAATGTTATCATTTCTTTTTATTTTCTCTTTTATTTATCCAACAGAATCCTAAAAGCTACCACGTTATGAAATATCACAATTACTTAACTATTATTTAAAAAAAATTACTTATTCGATACTTGGTCGAGTCACAACAAGTCGATTGTGTCCAAGTCTAAGTGTTGTCAATATATCAATCAAATTAGAATCTCACGATACTTCTGAGTCCCATCGAAGTTCTTATGAAATTAGTGGTCTTTTTGGTATTATTGTGAACTAGGTCTAGTTAGCGCATATGATGTTTTGTTAAGTTAATAAAATCTTAAGACTATGGTAATCAACTTTGTTATGCTACATCTAACTCGACTTCACACTTCCGCCTTCAAACCAAGTTTTGAATTTTAGTGATCTATAGCATATGTGATCGGTGATCTTGTGAATCATTTTATTGCATGACACCATATTCGAATCTTACAAATAGTACATAGAATATACAAGTGGACTTGTAAATGGATTAGATTTTGATTCGAATCCGGATAGATAATTATGGTATGGATTAAAACATGCATTCCAATAATTTATTTGATATTTAGATCCGATAATTTATTAGTTAAATAAATCAAATATAGGTTATAATTGATCCGATTTGACGTAATATATATAGATATAATATAAATACTTGCAAATTATTAAAAAAACATATTCATAATTTTTATTTTTCTCATATTTCTTCCACCTTTGTGTTTTTGTGTTTTTGTCTGTCTCTATTTTATTTTCTTTAATAAAAGGTTAAATACCTATTTTGGTACTATTTTATTTTGTGTTTAATTTTTAATTATTTTGCTCGTCTCTCTTTTATCTAATCAGTGTTTGCTGAACTCTTTTAATTTTTTTTTTTAATAATAGATTATATTATTTCAAATCGGTTTGTTGGATCAAATATCCGATTAACAAGAAATCGGATATCATAAATAATTTGTCAAATTATCGGATCGGACCATATTTGACCTGGCCTGAATCAAATCAGTTTAGAGAACTAATTTTACTTACATTATTATGTTATTTGATAATTTAATTGAGCACTTAATTTTGAACGGATTAAGCGGTTATTCAATTAAGTGCGTTTAATAACGTAATTTAAATATCACTGAAACCGTTAAACGCAAATTTTAAATAATAGGGACATTACTTATCACTCAATGATGTAAATTAAAAAAATCACGCGCGCGCACACACACACACATGTTACTTACCACTCAAATACTTTAGCTTTAGCTCTACAGTTTTTAGTACTTAATTTTTTATTTTATCATACGACATACATGTCTAAAAATCCTGTGACTTGTTTGGTAAGTTATGAAAACAAATTTTTTGTAACATAATAAATTGAATAATGATTTAAGTATAGTAGAAGTCCCGATAGCCCAGTGAATTAGTGTCTCTTGTGAATTTTGTTGTGTTATTTATTAATTTAATTTCTAACACTACTTGTCTTGAAAAAAAAAATATTCAAGGACCGATAGTTACGGAATTTGTTTTATAATGTCACAATCACTTCATGTAATGGAACTCACTACCCCTCTCACACAAATTAAATTCGATAACTAATAGTTTCGGTCCCTAAATCACTACTTTAGTAAATTTTGATTTAACCATTCAAATTGAAAAAGTAAAAAATATTTGCAAACTATAAACCTTAATAGTAATGAGTAAAAGAAAATTTATATAGCTAAACTGAATATTAAAATGTCAATGACAAAACTGATTCGCATATAATCAATGATTTTTAGAACATTTTAATCGTTTTAAAGGCTTGTTTGGGAAAAGAGCAAAACTTCTCACTAATTTAATAAATTTTGATTTTACCATTGACATTGAAAACGTAAAAAATATTTGCAAACTGTAAACCTCAACAATGATTTTTAGAACATTTTAATCGTTTTAAAGACTTGTTTGGGAAAAGAGCAATACTTCTCACAACCCGTCCCGATTAACAAACATATGTTATATTTTTTTATTACAGTAAATTTATTTCATTATTTTTCATGACAATATAAAATTCGAACTACACAATTATAAAATTCTCCAGTATTTGTTTATGCATATATTATTCCTAAGGAAATATCATAAATTTTGTTACAAAAATGAAAAATTTGCGGTTTCGAGCTCATCGCCATTAAGCTACAGAAGGATCATTTTTTTTTTTCGTTTGCAGATTATTACTAATTTTTGTTGGGTGGGTTTGGTACCATATCCTTGACCCATCCGTAAACATCTCTACCCATCATCATCATCATCATTGTTATTTAATTTAGAAAATAAATAATCTATACTATTATTAAAAGTATAAGGCTAGTCAAAAGTTTCAAATCATCATTAAAAATAAAAAATAAATTATCAATTAAATAAATCATATTATACTCTTAAAATTTATCAATTGAAATAAATCCTATTATATTTGGACATCATTAAAAATAAATAAATAATAAAATAAATTACAAATTAAAAGTTACCAATTAAAATAAATCCTATTATACTCTTAAAAGTTACCGATTAAAATAAATCCTATTATACTTGAAATTCTTCATCACTAAAACAACTAAAAAAGTTACCAATTAAAATAAAGTAGGTAATTATTTAGCTTGATTCGGTAGGTTAGATAGGATTTTGAATTTTTTCTTTAGCTTTTTTTTTTTTTTTTTCATAAATAAATCATATTATAGTCAAAAATTTTTATGACTAAAAACAATTAAAACAAGTTACCAATTAAAATGAAAATAGGTGATTGTTTAGCTTGATCTAATAAGTTAGATAGGGTTATGATTTTTTTCTTTAGTTTTTTTTTTTTTTTTTTTTTTTTTTTTTTCATATGTTTTATGTTTGGTTGGTGACAACGATGGTTGATCTTGTAAATTTAGTTTGTATTATAATTTTTTTTTATTTATATTATTTCAAAAGTATCATGAATAAGGGGTGTCAAGAATTTTAAATTATCATTAAAAATAAATAATTAATAAAATAAATCCTATTATATTCTTAAAAGTTAAAAATTAAAATAAATCCTATTATATTATGATATAATTAAAAACAAGTAAATAATAAAATAAATTACCAATTAAAAGTCACCAATTACTATTCCATAGTAGTATATTACTTTTCTCTGTTATGAATTTTTTTAATTGCGTTTCTCTGTCATCAGTTTTTTAAATAATTGATTGGAAACTTGACATAGTAAGTTGAATTTTTTCTTTAAAGTTTTAATTTCTTTTATATTTTTTCAATCTGGTTTCAATAATTGATTAGCAACTTTATAAAATTGGTTTCTGTTCTATAAGTACAATTAATTTTGTCTACGCATATAAAAGCTATTTTATTTATGCTTGATTATTGTTTAATTTAATTTTGGATCATAATTAATTTTTTACATATTAATTTTATTAACACACAGAAGTTATATTATTTCTGTTTTATTTATTTTTGGATTACAATTAATTTTTTTACATATAGAAGTAATATAATTTCTTTTAAGTTTTGAATATTTAAGTTTGAAATTTTAAATTCAAAGAATAAATATGAAAATATGTAAAATATATTATTTGAAATAAGAAAAAACTATTAATTTGATACAAATTAAAAAAAAAAATATGAGACTTATTATTTTAGGACGAAGCGGGTAATTATTTATAATTCCATTCACTTCGAACAGGATTATTATCAGTTAGGCTGCTGACGGTCCGTTATTGGATTATTATCGATTAGGCTCAGAGCGTCCTTTCGTAGGAGGTCTACCTAATTATCATGTAAACGATCGTATAGGATTATTATCGATTAGACAATTTTAGCCCAAATAGCTCCATCGTCACGAAGAATCTGACCAAACTATTGATTCAATCGATCATCCTAATCAGAGACATCTCCGAGTTCGCAGTTCGAACTGTCTGAACCTGCTCGTCTTCATCATCAGCCGCTCATTCACACATTCGATCCGCCCAATTCGGATCCCCATTTTATCGTCACACAAGTTTAGGTTCGTCTCTCTCTAACCCTAATTTTTGATCTAAATGTCTTCACTTCTCTGTTATTCTTCTATTTTTCTTTTATTTATTTTGACTGCTATCTTAGATCACCAATTAACTCTGTATGGTCTTAGTTACTCGTTAGATTCACTTTTTTTCTGAGTTATATATATATTTTTTCCCGATTTTTAATCAACTATCGATGTAAATTGTGTGTTTGATAAGTAACATATGTACTTCCCAAAATTTAACAACAAATGATGCTTTAGTTTAGATTATTTTTATCAGAGTCGTTGATCACAAAGTTTTACCCTTTTTGTTATCCTTTTCAGTGTTGCAACATTTGATTTGATAGATATTTTTTGAAAAGAACGTTTAATTTGATAGATTGTAGAGCATAACATGTAGTTTAGCATCTAAGTTTAGTTATACACTATTGTTACAACTTACAAGTTAGTCTCGGGTTCAGTGTTGACTCTTGAGTGTTTCTTGATATTTGAATTAGGGAAGCAATTGTTTGTGTGTGTGCAAGAAACGCTCACCCATTTGCCCCTGATGGTACTTAAACGTCACCTCTCACTTTGGGAGGTTAAGCAGATACTGCCTAGGTCATGTTTGGAACGACTAAGGTAGGTAGATATTCTTTGTTTAGGCCTGCTTTCGACACCCTAAACTTCTAATTGTGTATAGAAAGGTGAAAGCAAAATCTTCCAGTTTCGGCGCTAAAAAGCAGAAGGCAAAACAGGCCTACTAATAATGATCAGGTTATAAGCTGCCTCTCATCCCTCAAGTCACAGAAAACAAGGAGGCAGCGACGACAACGACAACGACAACGACGAACAAAAGCTAAACCCTTTTACGCCCATGTGCGACTTCTTGTTTGTAAGTTGGTTTCCTTAGTTTTGTGGTAAAGTCCAAGAATAAGATAAAATTTAGGCATAAGCTTCTATGTTACTCTCGGTCATGCCTTTGGTTTCCTTAGTTATGTGATAAAGCCGAAGATCAAGATTAGTTTCAGGCCTAAGCTTCTATGCTACTCTTGGTCAAGCCCTATTTAATAGTAATGACCCCTAACTGGTCTATGCCAAGCGTAGTCAGCGTAAATCAACTAATGTAACTTTTCTGGATCTATTTACCACTGTTAGTTACATCATTCAGTTTGATGGACTGCAGCATGTATGTCTTGACCAATCGTTTACGGAAGTATACCGTTCTGTCTCTAGCAACAATATTAGTTTAAACTCCTGATGACAAAAAAGTCTTAACAGTGTATAATCTGGGCTCATAATAATTTTGTTAGTACCAAATTGACGTGTCTTCTGCAAATTAGATACCGTCTCTGAAGATATCTTGCTGCTCCACTGATCATTTTCTTCATTCATGTGGACAGTTTGATTTGTTGAATCAGACCGTATTGGCTATGGACTAGTTGTTCCACGAGCTAGTGGAATATGGGAGTTTTAAAGAATAGGAGTCCAAGTCATGCATTAATGTGGAAAATATATGACACATAAAGGCTTATGTATTTAATCACACACATTTTCTGGTACTGATATTCCTTATGACAGACTCAGCATTGGAAGTGGGTATTGACTATTGTGGAAAATCACATGGTTAAGTGGGCTTTATGGTGCTTCCATGTAAAATAGTCCGGGGGAAAATTGCTACACTTCCATGGAGTGTATAAACTCCTTTTTCACTGACTAAGCTGCTTTCATACGGAGCATAGTGTGGATTTGTTTACAGGGTTTAATTTAATAATTTGTTGATTTTTGTGCTGGTTAAATAGAGCAAAGTTTGGAATCAAGGCCTCGAAATACTGATATAAAAAGTTATTGAATATTAGGTCAATACCTCCTAGATAGAATAATTATTGAGAGGGCTCAGTCATTTTTAGATTAAAGTAAGATGTATAGATTGGCTGCTGAACCAAGAGGTTCCAATGATGACTAGATGTTTCACAATTTTTTTGCGTTGTGTGGAAAAGTTATTCAGGACTTTTGAAGAAGCTAAACGCTTCAGCTTTTGAGTCATTATAATCATGATTTTGCATTTTATTTAACCGTTTTATATTTCCTTTTATCTGTAGAATAATTATTATGATGTATTGGTTTTGTTAAGGTAATGGTCTTATACAAGAGTGGATGGTGATGCAATATTCATGTTCTAACCCCAAATTTTTGGGAAAATGCTTTGTTGAGTTGAGATGGTTTGAGTATTATGACAATCTATTGACTAACATCCTTGTCTGTAAATATCTGTCCTTTGCTTAATATTCTTTGCAGCTTAGATCTTTGGCAAGATGTCAGGCCAAAGCCGCCTCAATGTAGTACCCACTGTCACAATGCTTGGGGCAATGAAGGCCCGCCTTGTTGGTGCTACAAGAGGTCATGCTCTTCTCAAGAAGAAGAGTGATGCTTTAACTATGCAGTTTCGTCAGATTCTCAAGAAGATTGTTTCGACAAAGGAGTCCATGGGAGACGTCATGAAAACATCCTCCTTTGCCCTAACTGAAGCTAAATATGTTGCTGGTGAGAACATCAAGCACACTGTCCTTGAGAATGTCCAGAATGCATCCCTCAAAGTTCGATCCCGGCAAGAGAATATTGCAGGTGTGAAGCTCCCCAAGTTTGAGTATTTCACTGAAGGTGAGACAAAGAATGCTCTGACTGGATTAGCAAGAGGTGGTCAGCAGGTGCAAGCTTGTCGTGCTGCTTATGTGAAAGCCATCGAGGTTCTTGTTGATCTTGCTTCTCTCCAGACATCATTCCTGACACTTGATGAGGCGATCAAAACCACAAATCGCAGGGTCAATGCCCTGGAAAATGTTGTGAAGCCAAGGATAGAAAACACAATAAGTTACATAAAGGCGGAACTTGATGAGCTTGAAAGGGAAGATTTCTTCAGGCTGAAGAAAATTCAAGGATTCAAAAAGAGGGAGGTTGAGAGACAGATGGCATCTGCCAAGCAGTTTGCGGAGGCGCAGATCGCAGAGAAAGTTTCTTTGCAGAAAGGTATTTCACTTGTTTCAGCGCATAACATGTTGTCTGATGCCTCGCAGAAAGATGAAGACATAATTTTCTGATGTGGAGGTGAGTTTATTTTGTTTTCTGCTGTGTTGTGTGGCTTCGACTCTGCTGCTTGTTTTATAATGGAGAAATTCCTATATCTAATTAGATGGATAAGCTATGCAGAAAGACAGAGGACATAATTTTCTGATGTGGAGGTGAGTTTATTTGTTATCTGCTGTGCTGTGTGGCTTCGACTCTGCTGCTTGTTTAATGATGGAGGTAATCCTATATCTAATTTACATGGACAAGTTATGTGTTGGGAGTAAAAGCTTCATGTACATGCCTAGTTTATTGGATTAAATTATGACCAGAATTATCCATCTCATGGTTTCAATAATATATTTTGCTTGGAAGTGTGTGGTTTATTGTTACAAGGTGAGTTCTGCTTTCTAAATTACCCAAACATATTCCTTACAATAATACAATAATGTGATTAATTGAGGTCATGCTAGGTCTGCATTCCAGTGATGCGTTTGATACCCATTCGACGATGCATTTACTGAAATCATGCTTATAAAATATCATTTTTTTTATTGACAGAGAAATAATTGGTGGTTAAACTTATTAACTAGAAGATTAAACAAATTTTATATTCAGAAATATATTAAGAGATTCTATTTAAATATTAATTTTCAATTGTACTGAGCAAGTGGCTAATGAAAGATGAGACCTCAAGAGTGCAAAGATGTAAATAATTGTTCATCGTCATTCACAAGTCTAAAGATGTAAATAATCGATCATTGTCATACATAATTCAACTGTCGGCCTATTAGTTTTCCTTTTCAGAAAGTACTGCAATGCAGAGGGACATCATAGTCATGGTAAAAGTATGATGGTGAAGTATCGTATTTACTTTTATTAACATACTAGTCAGGGAAGGACCTAGAATTTTCACATGGAGGGGCCAAAGTTGTAGCATTGAAATAAAATTTGTAATATATTTTTCGTTTTATAATAGAAGTAATTAGTACAAATTCTTAATATAAAAGAAGATCTAACAAGATTACTTGTCAATCGCATGAGGTGCTTATAATGACATTTTGGATTTTCTGTTCACGCACCCATAAAACTTGTTATATACATCTGAATTTAAAGCTTATGTAGCTTGTCAGTTTCTAGTAAATCAGTATGATCATCTGAAATTAGTTTTTGTTAACAATTTTATCTCTTGTTTAGGATTAGGGGTGCTACAAACATATAAGCAGTTAATCCATCTAGTGTTGCATGTTTTTCACCACTCTAGAGTCTAAATAGCTATGCATATATATATGTATATTGTTTCATTGTCCCTAATGTGTGGGTAAGTAGTATAGTTTGGGGAATATTGATATGAGTTATGCATTGATGGCTTTGACCCCTACTAATAAAGCACTGATATTTTCAGTTGCGTTGTGGTGCTTAAATGTATGAGTGCAGCAAGTTGAACACTTAAAAATAGGATGGTTTTGCTGTTTTATCATGTATATGGCTTCTAGTACGCTTGCTGTAACTGCTACTTTCAATCCCCTTTCAAATGGTATGAAGAAACATTTATTTATTTATTTTTTCTTATTTAACAAAGTTTTTGTAAAGATTTAGGGCTAGTTTGGTGTGCTGGAATGGAATGACTATTCCAACTGTTGATTCATTTTCCCTTGTTTGGTGTGCCATTTTAAAGGTGGAATGATTATTCCAACTCATTCCCTGAGAATGCTCATTCCATCAAGAAGTTGGAATGGCCATTCATCTTCTTGACCAAAGGAATGGTCATTCCATTCCCAACAAAAATTAAAATAAAATATAAGCAAAATAGAAAAACTAAAAAATAAAACCAAACGTCTAACCTAAAATCTTCTTTCACACATGACTCGCCAAACCTCCAAGGCAACCTGCTACCGTCTCCCTCAGCCGTCTTCCTCTACCATCTCTTTTCTAACACTACGAAAAAACTTTCCTCTGCCTCCACTTCTCCCCTCACAGTTCCACACTTCCCTCTCTCTTTCCTTCCTTTCTCACCACCCATATACGTCTTCCTTCTCTCTCACCATTGTCGGCGGGCAGTGACGGCGGTAGAGGGTTGTGATGCCTATGCTTTATTGAATCTCACTGTTGTTCACTAGCAAAGAATTGAATTCGGATGAATTCGGTTTTACTAAAGAACACATCGATTTCGAACTTCTTGAGATTTATAGAATTATCAAGATATGTAGTATTCACAGTTGTGCAATAGTGGAGAGGAGGTTTGGTATCTCTATAGCCGGTCTCAAACACTGCCGGTTAGATAAGGTGGTAATAGATCTGTAATTTGGGGATGTAAATTCAAATAGTAAGCACCATAGAGATAGATGCATAAATGTTCATTAGAGATATCAAGCAGATTGGAAATCGAAGAGTATAGGTATAGAACACTCTCGCACCTATTACCCATCCGGCTACCCACAAGCTAGCTCGAATCTTGTTGGTTGCCTTGCTTATCTGTCTGTTTTTTTGATTTGATCAGAAATCAAACCCAACAAAACTCAAAAGATATCACTGGTGTTGGTGGATTCATACTACAAATTGCTGTTAATCAATTCTTTTTCTTAATTATTTGTAATTTTTTTTTTTTAATTTTGAATTTTGATAAGAATATTTTGAAAAAAAAATCATTCTATTCTACTTTTAGGATGGTCCAGCCAAACATTGGAATGGAACTAAGCATTCCATTCCTTATCATTCCAGGTCTGAGACCAAACAATGGAATGAAAATGACCATTCCATTTCTTTTCCATTCTCATTCCATTCCCAATTATATTTTCATTCCATTCCAATCCATTCCAGCACACCAAACTATCCCTTAATTCATTATATTTAAGCTTTACTTAATTTGCCAACTGGATACAGAGCTAGGTTTTAGGGGACATGCTTAAATGTGATGGAAAGAGATTGGCTATATCTCTCGTATTTGCAGATTGTAACAAATGTTCACGAACGTGTTTCTCATGTGCAATTTACTTATAATTAACTTGTATTGTATAACCAAGCAGATTTCATGTTATTATTTTTGCAGGGAGTAGAAGATTTTAAAATAGTATAGTTTTGTATAGAATTTTAAAAGGTAGATAGGATGCAAGAGAGGCGTCATTTGTAATCCAATAAGCGGTAGGAGAGAGAGCATTTTACTAATAAAATATAAATAAGATGACATCAAATGAAAGTTTTCGATTCCCATATTTGGGCTCCACGTTATTTGGGCTGGTTGCCATGTGGAGTATTGGAGAGAGGGTTTGTATATATTTCTAAAAAAATATAGAAGATTGTAGAATGGTAAAAAAATTGTGATAGAGTATTCATGCATAATAAGATGTCTATATAAGATAGAGGAGGAGTTATAGTAACTACTTGAGGTGAAAGGTATTCGAAACATTGTTCGGGGAAGAAATTCTCATGTATGTGTCCTCTAATACTAAATGGGTCTAATTACTTATTAAAAAAAAAAAATTACTAAAAGGGTCTAATGTTAATGATAAAAGTGTATAATTAGACAATGCACTGTCAGAAGATGTGTCATTAAAATTGTCTAATTTTAATACTAAAAGTGTTTAATGGATAATAATACTAAAAGTGTTTAATTTTAATGCTAAAAGTGTTTAATTGATAATAATCCTAAATACGAAGACAATGGACTGTCAGAACAAACAAATTTAACTGGTGTGGTACATGTATATTTAATTTCATTAGTTAATTAATTATTAATAATGATTATGGTAGAGATGTTTATGGACTGGTCAATATCATGAAAAATAATGAAAAAAAATTAATATAATAAAAAAATATAGCATATGTTTGTTAATCGGGACAGATTGTGACTTGTGAGAGGTTTTGCTCTTTTACACGTTTAAATTCACGTTTATAGGTAATTCCATTGACATTTTCATATTCTGTTTAGTTATAGAAATTTTCTTTTACTCATTACTATCGAGGTTTATAGTTTGCAAATATTTTTTACCTTTTCAATGTTAATGTTGGTAAAATCAAGATTTATAAAAATAGTGATTTAGGAACCAAATTCAATAATTATCGAATTCAATTTATGTTAGAGGAGTTTTGAATCCCATCACATGACATGATGGTAACATTACATGGTGAGACCTACCACTAACATAAAACAAATTCGGTAATTATCTGTCCTTATATCATTATTAAATTTATTATGTTATCAAAAAATTGTTATCATAGCCCTAGGGCTTGGTAATGGTGGTAAGGTAAGAGGCTGGGTTCCAATATGTCTCGGTTTCAACTCCAACACCCTATTGTAATCTTTGATTTAACTGATGCTATTGTTGTGGGGCCGTTTGCAACGTACACTCTCGGATTTATAGCTATATATATGAAAATTACTTCTCATTAACTAGCATTTTAATCAATTATTAAATCTATAACAATAAATAACTTTCAAAAAAAAAAAAAAAAAATTTATGACAATAAATATGTACTTATAATTTCAATTTATATATGTAATACAATAATTATTATGTTAAAAACAATTTGTTTCTATCCTTTTCCTTCAAAAGTAAAAAGGATTTTTTATATTTAAATAAGAAACTGATTTATTTTATTATTATATTAGATTAATTTGGTTTCATGATACTTAAGCCTAATTCAAACAACTAATTTTCTTAACTCATGAATGCAATCAATTGCAAATTTTTAACTCAGTTCAGTCCAAACAACAAAATCATGACCGTGATTGAAATATTTTAATTATTTTTTATCAAATCTCATACTAATATGTGGATTACAGTATATATTTCTGAAATTAGACAACATTATCAAATTCATGCATGCATATATAACGTAGGAATGGATCAGGGTAGAATGACAGAAAAATAACAAAATTAAGTTACAAATAATAAAAATTGGAGCGAACTCGGCACCGGGTATATATAACTGGATAATTGATTAATTGTTAAATTTGTGGTTGACGTGGCACCACTGCAATACCCACCAAGATCGACCATATATGGTGACAGACACCACTTAAAATGTTCATCAAGAAACAGAATAAGGACATACAAAAAGAAACAGAATTTGCCATAAACAGCCAAACAGCCCCTATGGGTAACTCCATTCACTGATTCCAACCCAACCCTCCAATCTCTCTCTATACACACACATCCCTCCATTTCTCTCTCTAAAAACATGCATTAAACGAGAGGAAAAAACCATTCATTACGTTACCAAACACAGACTTTGGAGTCTAGCATTAGTTAACGGATCTGCTGGTGGCAACAGTACCGTCTCATTTTTAATACTACTACATATATATATATATATATATATATCATATATGTTCTCTTCTGTTATTTTCAACAACCCAAAACACCCCATTTCGTAACTTGACGTTTGGCACAAT